CTCCACAAACCCCCCTCTCTTCTAGAACTGATGATGTTATCTAGTTAGGACATGAAACATCTGCAAAAAACCTCCAAGCTCAGAGAGCAACAAGAACCCAACAGTCGTCCTCCTTCTCCTTCTCCCTCTCCTTCTCTTTCTCCTTCTTCTCCTTCTCCTTCTCCTCCTCTTCACAAACCCCACTCCCTTCTAGCACTGATGATGTTACCTAGTTGGGTCATGAAATGTCTGCAAGAAAACTACCAAGCTCAGAGAGCAACAAGGACCCCAGAGTTATCCTCCTCCTCCTCCTCCTTTCTCTTACTCTTTCCCTTCCTCCCCTCTTCTTCCTTCTCCTTCCTCTTCCTTCTCCTCCAATTAACTGCCACCCGTTTATTAGTTAACACGAGGGTCCTGGTCCTTTCATTATTTCATGGTTTTTAAACAATTACCGTTATATATTTCTTTCATGGTTCGGCAAATATGTGCCTTATCTTGCATATAGTTTTGAATAAAGTCTTCCTAGAGATCAGTTGGCCGTATCCAATTCAGACAGCTTGGTCTGCAGCCTCTCAAATTGTGAAAAGCATCACCGAATCCATCTGAAAATCGGAGCCCTCTCTGGGGAAATGGGCCGTTAAGAAATACGAAATACATAAAACAAAACAAACAAAAATTGGAGATTAAATTGCACAATTTAATCCAGGAGAGGGCCAAGAATCAGTCCTGTCATCGCACTCCAGCTAGACCTCGGCTTACGACCACAACTGAGCCCCAAATTTATGTGGGCTAGGTGAGAAATTTGTGAAGTGAGTTTTGCCTCACTTTACGACTTTTCTCGCCACCGTTCTTAAATCAGTCACACGGTTGTTAAGTGAATCCTGCTTCCCCCACTGACTTATCAGAAGGTCGCAAAAAGGGTTCAGGTGACTCCGGGGACGCCGCCGCCGTCATAAATGTCAGTTGCTAAGCATCTGAATGTAAATCAAGTGGCCATGGGGATGCTGAAACCGTCGTTAAGTGTGAAACATGGTCATACGTGACTTTTTTTCAGTGTTGCTGTAACTTCGAGCCGGCACTAAATGTTGTAAATCAAGGACTGCCTGTGTTACTTCTATCCCCTATTCCAGAGGTCTTCAAACTGCTTTAAGACTTGTGGACTTCAACTCCCAGAATTCATAGCTGGCTGGAGAATTCTGGGAGTTGAAGTCCAGAAGTTTTAAAGCTCCCAAGTTTAAAGACCTCTGCCCTATTCTGTTTTAATGACTTGGCCTGCTGTTTGCAAAAGTGGAGGTTTTGAATAAAAATTGTCTTTTGAAAGAAATTCTTCCATACCTCTGCATTTTTGGGGGGGAGTTTTTTGCAGGTAGCACATCCTGATATTTTGTGGTTGCTTCTGATCCATCCGACCACTTTTGGGATTGAGCTGCACAGTCACAAAAACTGAACTGCTTTATAAAATCTTAGTAACCTGAAATCCAGTTTTGGTCACCACATTAGGAAAAAAAAAAAAAGATGTTGAGACTTTGGAAAAAGTGCAAAGAAGAGCAACTAAGAGGATCAAAGGCCCAGAGACCAAAATATATGAAGAACGGTTGAAGAATTTGAATTTGGCCAGTGTAGAGAAGGGAAGGACTAAGGGGGAGGACATTAGCAGCTCTCCAGAGGAGCTCCCCCAAAGAAAAGGGGGTCAATTTATTCTCCAAAGCACCTGAAGGCAGAACAAGAAACAATGGATGGAAATCAATCAACGAGAGAGAAGCCATCTGGAATTAAGGAGAAACTTCCTAACAATGAGGACAATTAACCAGTGGAACAGCTTGCCACCAGAAGTTGTGGATGCTCCCAACACTGGATGTTTTTAAGAAAAAAAAATTGGACAGCCATTTCTCTTAAATGGTTTAGGGTTTAGGGGCTGGACTAGAAGACCTCCAAGGTCCCTTCCAACTCTATTGTGATTTGAGTCATTGAGCCTCTGAATAACATGTGTTCGCAGGAAAAAATGCTAGCGACCGGATCGTCCTTGATTTACGCTCCGTGGGTGCCACCTGTCGACCAATCAGAATATTGCTGGCATTCATTAGTGGACTGGAAAAATTGGCATTTGCTGGAATTAGCCTCGCTGGACTCCAATCCAGTCTTGACTTTTATTCAAATTTATTTGCCACCATTCGTTTAGTGACCGGTCAAAATAACGACGCCCCTCATAGCAGTGTTCCAATATTTGAGGGGCAGCCGCAAAGAGGAAGCTGTCGACCCATTCTCCAAAGTACCAAAGCTCGTGACTTCAATGTGTGCAGCTTCTCCCAATGATTGAAAACCCTGTTCTCTGCCCACCTTGCACGAAATCAGTCAGAATACAGTTGGAAGGGACCTTGGAGGTCTTCTAGTCCAACCCCCTGATCAAGCAGGAGACCCTATGCCATTCCAGACAGGTGGCTGTCCAGGCTCTTCTTGAAAACCTCCAGTGAGGGAACATTCACAACTTCTGGTGGCAACTTCTGTTCCATCTATCCAGCTATCCGTCTGTCTGTCTGTCTCTCTAATGTATCTTATCACTCTTTCTCTTTCTGTCCTATCTATCTATCTATCTATCTATCTATCTATCTATCTATCTATAATCAATACTATCTCTATTTATTTATCTACCTCTATCAATCATTTATTTATAATCTATTTATAATCAATACTCTATCTACTTCTGTCAATCATTTATTTATAATCTATCTATAATCAATACTATCTCTACCTCTATCAATCATTTATTTATAATCTATCTGTAATCAATACTATCTCTATTTATCTATCTACCTCTATCAATCATTTATTTATAATCTATCTATCCATCTATCTATAATCAATACTATCTCTATTTATCTACCTCTATCAAGTATTTATTTATAATCTATCTATAATCAATACGATCTCTATTTATCTACCTCTATCAATCATTTATTTATAATCTATTTATAATCTATACTCTCTTTTTATTTATCTACCTCTATCAATCATTTATTTATAATCTATCTTTCTATCTATAATCAATACTATCTCTATTTATCTATCTACCTCTATCAAGTATTTTATAATCTATCTCTAATCAATACTATCTCTATTTATCTACCTCTATCGATCATTTATTTATAATCTATTAAATATCTATCATCTATGTATCATCTCTCTCTCTCTCTCACACACACACACACACAAATATATATATCCATCCATCCATCCATCCATCCATCCATCCATCCATCCATCCATCCATCCAATGTATCTTATCGAATCATAGAGACCTAGGGCTGGAAGGGACCTTGAGGTCTTCTAGTCCAACCCCCTGCTCAAGCAAGAGAACCTATTCCAGGGCTCTGCAACCTTAAACACTCAAAGAGCCATTTGGATCCATTTCCCACAGAAAAGAAAACACCGGGAGCCACAAAAACCCTTCCCGTGCCTGACGATTTCTTGAGCGGCCACAAAACTACCACATGTAGTTGAATGAAATGTTTTGTTTTCTTCAGAAACTTTTTTCTTTTCTTGGATTTATCCATGGTTGGCCTACTGGGGGGGTTGAAAAGCTCAATAAATTGTGTACTGGCGGGTGTCGCACATTGGCGGTTGTGACGCATATTTTGAGTGACAGGGAGCTGCAGCAGAGGGGTGAAAGAGCCACATGCGGCTCCAAAGCGGCAGGTTGCTGACCCCTGCCCTAGACCATTCCAGACAGGTGGCTCTCCAGTCTCTTCTTAAAAACCTCCAGTGATGGAGCACCCACCACTTCTGGTGGCAAGGAGTTCCACTGATTAATTGTCCTCACTGTCAGGAAGTTTCTCCTTATTGCCAGGTTGCTCCTCTCCTTTATTCATTTCCATCCGTTGTTGCTTTTTCTCCTGCCTTCTGGTGCTTTGGAGAATAAAAAGTTGACCCCCTTCTTCTTTGGGGCAGCCCCTCAAATATTGGAGGACTTCTATCATGTCCTTTCCGGTTCTCCTTTTCCCTAGAAAATAATCCCTTTTCTTTGCTTTCTTCATAGCGTCTTGATGAATCAGCGGTTCACACAACCGATTTAAGGTAAAAACCAAATGAATTGCATTAAAGCTCATAACCAGCTTAATCCCAGAATGGCAGGGGGTCTCCGTGGATTTCTGTCCCCCTAAGATTAGACTGCTGAAATCCATTTTTGACCTGGTTTCGTTATTTTGCTGCAGAAAGCTGGCTTGTTAAGCCTCGGTGAGATCTTTTTAAGCCTATTTTCCCAGCCAAACGTTTCTTTCTCATAAATCATGGGTCATAAATATTTAGTTCTGCCTGCTTCGCATTGAAAGTCAGCTCGTCTCTTGCAAGCCTGCCTCGCTTCTAATAATAAAAGAAATTCACCAAAAAAGGGGTATTGGGCTGCAGAGGAGATATTTTACCCCTGCTTCGTGCAATGCACAAAGCCCACCAATCAATAATCCCCCAAAACCCACCTGCCTCTCAAACACTGAACCATGGTGGCAGCTGTTAGTAAATCCGGAGTATCTGTGCTTGTACGTGCGTTTTAGGAAAACTGTAGTCTTCCATTTATGACCAGAATTGGAACCAGAATTTCCACGGTTAAGTGAAGTGGCTGTTAAGTGACTTATCCCATGTGTTATGATTGTTTTTGCCCCAGTTGTTAAGTGAATCATGTGGCCGTTAAACGAATCCGCCTTCCCCCATTAACACTGCTTGCCAGAAACCAGCTGGGAAGGTCCCAAAAAACGATGACGTGACCCCTGGGATATTGCAACCATTGTAAATACATGCCGGTTACTATGCACCCCAAATTTTTGATTCCGTGACCGTTAGAATGAGCCAACCGTCACTAAGTGTGAGGCCCCTTTGTCTCTTTTTTTCAAATCGTTATAAATCGAGGACTCTCTGCATTCCAGACCGTCAACCCCTCTGAAGGGCCCCCCCCCCTTTAAAAAAAAAAAGCCGAAAAGTGCTCAGGGTTTTAATCTACCCGCTCGCAGTAATTACTACCAGTCCAAAGGGGCCAAGGTATATACATATTTTATTTTTTAAAAAGTTTACAGTTTCTTTAATTATACACAACTATTCTGAGAGGTTATAATCCTTAGCAGAGGCATTCGCCACGGGGGGGGTTCTGCCCACTCGCCACCCTCAATGCCGCCACCATCCGCATCATCGCAATGCCAAGAAGGGAAATGGGGCAGAGGAGAATTGGGGCAGCCAAGGGGAGGGCCGGGCATCCCGTTTGACCTCTTTAAGTATTCACACAATGTACCAAATACACTCCGGGAAATTAAGCAAAAACTTGGAAAAAAAAAAAAAACCTGGCAATTTTTAAGGGGGCACCCACCCCACCCGCAAGAAAGCGACGTCCCAGATCCCAAACCGGAATGGTGCACGATGCGCCGACCACCCCTCGTTCCCAAATCTGAGCTGCAGGACACTCAAAGCTGAAGTATTTTCCATCTGTCTCGTCTGTATCTCCACCTCGCTCTGAAAGACACCAACCAACCAATTCAGGAGACCTTCACTGAAGTTCTCAAACCATCCAGGAGAACTTCACTGAAGTTCTCAGGAAGGACTCAACTCTGCTCCGAACCACAAAAATACAAAATCTCCCAACTTGAATGAAAGGGGACAAGACTCGGGGTCATCTGGTCAGTGTGACCTGTGGCGTCGCAGTTTTTTTTAACTCGCTTTTAAGATACCTCAAGGGTGGCTTGAGAAGATTGCTTGACAGATCAATCGGGGAAGAAGGTGAAGAGATGGATGAAAAGTTTGGTGGCCTCCAGAAAATAGTCATTCCCCCGCCCGCCGAAGACAGGTCTAGTTTGCAATTCGAAAAGGACACGGGAAGCGTCCCAGATGGACGGCAAGACGTTCCCGAGGGATTCGTTCAGCCAACGTCAACTCAACAACGGTTGGCGGTTTGGATGACAGTGTCATGAAATGAAGACCGTTGGTGGAGATTAAACCACCCAGAGAAAGGAAGGAAGAAACGGAGAAAGTACCAGCTTGTCTCAAGATCAAGGATGGGAAGGTGACCGAGCTGAAACCTGCTCCATTTTAAGTCAAAGCTTCTGAGATGTTTCCTCACCAAATGTCTCCTTTAAGCTTGTTCTCGCCAACCTTTGGCCAACTGTAATCTCTAGGTCAACTCAACGCCTACGTCAAGGGACGTCAGAAAAGGTTTGCAACGGTGTGGGTGTGATACCTACGTTAAAGAACTAAATTCCAGAAAGAAGAAGGATCACCTTCAACTTTCATCTCAGCCACGAATGTTCCAGAGAGGAGATGCCCCAAAAAGGACCTTTGCGAATCAAAAAGAGTTGGCAGGGCTAATTTGGGGGGGGGGGGGGGCGCAGAATTTGGTGCTGACGTGGGTTATCTTTCTGTCAGAAATTTGGTTAGTTTTCGCTCCTTAATTAAAACCAGAATTGTGGTTTTGCTTGGCCGGAGGTACGGGATTAAAAAAAAAAAGGGGGGGAGGGATATTAATTTATGAGCGTTCAAAAAAATCTCAAAATATCAGACTTTATTGTTTCGAAAAAAGAGAAAAGGTTTGCCTTCGTAAAGGGAAATTAGAACACTAGCGTATTAATATATCTATCTATCTCTATATATGTACAACCTTGGGGAGAAGAATGGTTTAGTTTGCTCAAAAGTGGTAGTCCTATCATGATAGATAGCTTGGCACTCAAAATCTAGAGATCATTGCACAGGTCAACCAATTAGCAGCACATTTAAGGCAGACCAAGCCCATCGTGCACTCCTCCCCGCCGGCTGGGGAGGATGGGGATGGGGTGGCAATTGCAGGAGGGCACCGGGTTAGGGACAGGGAATCAAATCCGCGTTTCTCGATTTGGGCCTCTTTTTAAGATGGGCGGGACTTCAACTCCCAGAATCCCCCAGGGCTGGGGAATTCTGGGAGTTGAAGTTCTGCCCATCTTAAAAATCGAGAAATGCGGATTTAAAAGATCCTTCTTATCTTCCATCAAGATCCAGAGTGACAAAAACTAGGGTCTCCTATTCCAGCATCAGTTCAGCTGCTCACCGCAATCCAATTTCACTGCTTTCCACACACACACACCCGAAAAAACATTTTCAAGGGAAAAAAACAACAAAAAAAGTGACTATGAATAATATTTGCGGGTTGTTGGGTTTTGTTCTCGCTCTGTATGCCCAAGACGCGATAAGCTCTTTTGCTTTATTCGAATGAAAATCACCGTGCCGATTCAAAGTCTACTTTACAGATCTTTCCACGTGGGGAAGGAAGGAAGGAAGGAAGGAAGGAAGGAAGGAAGGAAGGGATCGCGGTTGAAGATCGGACTCGTTCCGTCAGCCCTCCCTCCCCAAAACACACACACAGATCTACGCACCCACAAACTCCCCAATTTCAAACTCCGATGGCATTTAAGAAGGAACGGGTGGAAAGGAAGGGCGCAATCTTTTTGACAGTCAACATTCTTCTTGATTCACCCATGTTCTGATGACGATACTACAAGATGCACCAACCCCCCCTGAGCCCTCGACTCAACATCCTGTCCCCCCCACATCTCTAGAAATCCAGAGGAAGCAACATCCATCTCAAGGGGACATTCTTGCTATCAACCATAGACAACCATCATCGTTTCTGGTCTAAGGCTCTTTCCTTCCCGTCGAAGGGGAAGGGCGGTATGGAGCCATCGGGAAGTCGATCCGTCAAGGAAAGAAGAAATTTGGAGCCCCTCTGACACCACCTTCGATATTAATCCGCCCTCCCCTTCTTCAAAAGGAGCCCAGAGTCTTGCCAAACGTGGTGGGACTTTCTCAGAACATCTGGCCAGCTCACACAGCACGGCGAAGCAGACAGCAAAGGAAAAGCAAAGTGGTGAGGAGAGCATTACTAACCAAGTGCCAGAGCATCCTTTTTTTTCCCCACCGGCTCGCGGCACTTTGGTCAAATCCACCTGGAGCACAAAACTCTTCCAGATGTTCTCCTGGAAGCTGTTTGCAGAAGTGTCAAGAGAACAAGAGTGAGTGAGTGAGTGTGTGTGTGTGTGTGTGTGTAGAATCCCTACTGCTGGTGGTTTGGATACAGAGGACCAGAATGGATTGGGTTCAAGGTACTTCGAGTTAAAGAGACCACCTCACCACCCTTCGAAAGGACTGGCTCGCTTCCTCGACCCGAGACTCCAGAGGAAACCGAGACTCCAGAGGAACAAGAACGGCTTACATTTGACTTTCCACGCTGGCCTTCCAGCGTTTCACACACACCTTGCCTCCCCTCCCCGGCCAACTTCAAAGAAAAAAAAAAAACATTACCATCATCACCTCCATCACCAGTCTAAGCAGACAGGAAGTCCGTTTAAGGGGAAAAAAAATTAAAAAAAAAAAAGCATACTATACTCAGAATCACAGCTGCTTCGTAAAAAAAAATATCGGACACGTCAAGAAACTCCATGCATTCAGTTGGTGGCTCTTGTTGGGGGTTTTGTTTTGGTTTTTGAAAGAAAAAAAAAAAAAGAATGAAAAATTAAAAAAAATAATAATAAGGTGAACTCCATCGAAAAAAAGGTTTTCTAATAAGCAGCCAGGTTGGAAAAACAAAAACAAAAAATGTAGAAACACCGTTGGGACTTCACGGCCTTATATTTTTCCATCGATGAAATCGCACACGCCCCCCCCTTTCCTTCCTTCCCCCCCCACCCAAAAAAAAAATCTTCTACTTTACATTCTCAAAGTGCTGTTCCGCATTTGCATCCAAGGGTGTGTTTTGCTGTCTTTGGAACGCTCGATTTAAAAAGAAAAAAAGAAAGGAAAAAAGAAAAAACGGAGGGCGATTAAAAAAAAAAAAAGGGGGGGGGGAAAGAGGCATTATCCAGATTCTTTCCCGAGCGAAGCAACAGATTTCGGGGGGGGAGGAGGAGGAAAAAGGGAGTTTGAACTCAGCTGAAATGGAATCACGAAGAGATGCCAGCATGCACCCGGGTTCATATTGCTACCAAGTGGAATGTCGGAAACGCACCGCGATGCTTTTTTTTTTTTCAAAGGGGGACAGGGGATGGGGGACGGGGGGCCCTCTTGAGAAATGACCAAAAAAAATAAAAATAAAAAAAATCAAGATCTAAAGGGTGATATATATATATGTATATATATCTGAATGCTATTATTCATAAAAACCTTGTTTAGTAATAAAAAATTGCTTTGTTTAAATATGAATGTTATAAGTCTGCTTCTCAGCGCATGGTTAGGAAGAAGTCAAGTCTCTCGGGGGGTGGGAAAAGCAGGACGGCCGCTCCTACTACAATTCCATATCCTGGGCCTCGTCCTCTGAAAAGTCAGACATGGAGCTCTCCGAAGAGCTGTCGCCGGTGCCTTCTTCCTGCTCTTTGAGGGCTTCCTCTGTTGCATATTTCTGGATGTATTCTGGAGGAAGAGGAGGAAAAGGAGATGTTAACGGTCAACTCCAAGAGAGGAAAAAAATCCATCCATCCATCCGTTCTCTATCATCTATCTCCCAATTTCTCTTATCATCTCGATTTCTCTCTCTCTCTACCTATTGTGTTTTCCCGAAAATAAGACCCTGTCTTATATTTTTTTTGAACCCTGAAATAAGCACTTGGCCTTATTGCCATGCGCTCAAAAGCCTGATTGGGCTTATTATCAGGGGATGTCTTATTTTGGGGGAAACAGGGTATTTATCTATCATCTATCTATCCATCAATCTGTCATCTATCTATCTATCTATCTATCTATCTATCTATCTATCTATCTATCATCTATCTATCTATCTGTCTGTCCATCCATCCTCTCTCTCTCTCATCTAGCTATATATCCATCAAATATGGCTCATATTTGGGCTGAGCTTACTCTGCTGCCTTGCTTAGCCACTGAAATCTGGGTCTTGACAGTGGTCGTTAAGTCGAGGACTACCCGTAATTCAGTCATAAACTGAGGACCACCTGTCGATGTTTTTCCCCTAGGGGTCCTTACCTTTAATTTTCTGCTTGTATTCTTCTGGTCGGTGAAGGTACATGGCTGCGGCGTCACCATTAAGGGGGTCTATGGGGTTGGGGTAGGCCAACAACTGGGGCAGGAACGACTCAAATATATTGGTAAGATCTGAAAAAGTGGACGCAAAAAGAAGCTTTAGGTTTTGACAGTTCGGGAGGGTTTTGCGCAGAGGTGGCATTCAGCCGGTTCAGGCAAACCGGTAGCAGAAATCACGCGGACTCTATGCTGTCCTATTTAGGCGTGTTTTGGAGGCTGGGTGCATGTGAGCAAAGGGCACGCGTGCTCACATTTTTGGTGGTGGGCAAACTGGTAGGTAAATGATGTGAATCCCACTCTGGTTTTGAGGGCACAGAAAGGACTTGAAACTTAAAGCAGAGGCGGTCACTCTTTCAAATATTTTACTGCCCCTGAAAAAAGTTGGGAGTCACTTCTTTCTTTTTCTTTCTTTCTTTCTTTCTTTCTTTCTTTCTTTCTTTCTTTCTTTCTTTCTTTCTTTCTTTCTTTCTTTCTTTCTTTCTTTCTTTCTTTTTCTTTCTTTCTTTCTTTCTCTCTCTCTCTCTTTCCTTTCTTTCCTTCTGTTTTTCTTTCTTTCTTTCTTTCTCTTTCTTTCTCTCTCTCTCTCTCTTTCTTTCTTTTTGAACCTCTTTTGGGGTTTTCCCTTCTCTTTCTCCAACTCTCTCCCTCTTCATTTGTGCTTGTATTTAATTCTACGATAATTTTTTTTAAGGGGGGGAACCCCCACAAAGGATCTGGAATAGGGCTTATGATGTGTCCCTTCCCATCTTGAATTCCCAGGAATGGGAGGGGCAGGGGGGAAGGACAACTTTCTCCCTTTTTCTTTGCGCTTGTATTTAATTTTACAATACTTAATTTTTAAAAAAAGTGTTAAGGAAAAGAAACACACACAAAAGATTTGAAAAACAATTTGTGGTGTCCAAAAAAGAAGCTTCCTTTCCTTTTGGATGATCCTCATGCCTCTTTTCCCACCACCCTCTCTTGAGTTCCCAGATGTTCTAGGACGAGTGTATATGTGTGACTTCTACTGTTTGACCCAAAGACCCCCTTCTCTTGGTCTCAAATAATGTCCTGATACCCCCCTCCCCAAGAATCAAAACAGTCTGTCCTTTTATACGAGCGTCTTGAGTCTGACAATCCCAAATTTATCTTTAATTGCAGGGTCCTTGGTGCTCTTGGTGCAGACATTTCAATACACTGATGGTGTTATCTAGTTTGGTAATTAAACATCTGCAAGAAAACAACCACGGTCAGAGAGCACCAAGGACCCCACAGTCCCTCCTCCTCCCTTTTTCCTCCTCCTCCTCTTTTTTCTTCCTCCACTTTGCAAGCCTCGCTCCCTTTCCAGCACTGATGATGTTACCTAGTTTGGTAATGAAATGATTTTAAAAAAAAAAAAAAACCTCACCATAGAGAGCTGTCCAAGTCTGATTAATTACATCTAGACATACGGTTCCTGACCTGGAAACAAACAAACAAGGATAGTTGAATGACAGTTCAATGACAGTTGAATGACAAGTTCAATCTTTGCCCCTGCCACATGGAAGTTAAGAGCAGTAGCTGGCCTGATCTTAGTTTAAATCCTGCTTCTAGATCAGGGGACGAGTAGAATATAACTTTATTAGAGCCTGGTGGTGCAGCAGACTAATAGCCTGTTATTAACATTCAGCTGCCTGCAATTACTGCAAGTTCGAATCTCCCTAGGCTCAAGGTCGACTCAGCCTTCCATCCTTTCTAAGGTAGGTAAAATGAGGACCCAGTTTGTGGGGGCAATAAGCTGACTTTGTATAAATATACAAAAGTATGAAGGCTATTGCTTAACGCACTGTAAGCCGCCCTGAGTCTCTGGAGAAGGGCGGCATATAAATCAAATTTAAAATATATATATATATATATATTATGGTCATCGACCAGCAATAGACATACAATATATTAAAAAATAATACTGACATTAATAGTGGATAATAACATCCCTGTTATGAAAATACATGATCTCAAACCGTTAGGGTCACTCCCTAATTTACGTGAGTGGGAAGCCGGTAAGTATGTGAGTAAATGTATTTTCCCCCAAAATTGTTATAGATATCTCCCAAAAATTGGCACAAGTTTGACAGCTATAATTCCGTAACCAATTTTTTTTCGGTAGCCAGGCTTTGGAGTCCCGGAGGAGAAAGTCTACATAAAAGTCAACTGCCCTCCTTGGCCAAGCTCTCCAGTAGACCAAGGGATGAACGTGGATTGCAGCACGGGCTGTGCAAAATATTTCTTCTATTTTGAAGCTGAAAGGCCCTCCTTGGTGGGACTGTTGCAAGACTCCTACAAGAGGCTCGAAGTCTATAATTTCTCAAGCTTGGCGAGGTGAAGATGGGTAGACTTCAACTCCCAGAATTCCCCAGCTGGATAAGCCACGATGAGCAATGCCGGACCTCCCATATTTCACGAGTTGGAAGTACAACTTAGCTCCTTAGCTTCTCCTTATTAAAGAAAAAAGTTGAGAATTCTGGTGTTTAAAACCTCTTTTAAGTCAGTGTTTCTCAACTTTAGGGAGGTGAAGATGGGTGGGACTTCAACTCCCAGAATTCCCCAGCCAGCTTAGCTGGCTGGGGAATTTTGGGAGTTGAAGTCCCACCCATCTTCACCTCCCCAAGGTTGAGAAAACATTGCTTTAAGCCAATCGGGGCCAAAATTTTGAACAATACTCCCCGAGCTTGTGAATCCAAACATTTGGGGACCATTTTTGTGCCTCATTGGACATTTTGGCATAAATAACTTCAGCCCTGCAAGGTTTTAAGGCCTCTTTCTGTTGCCCCCAACCCCTCTTCCCAAAGGGGTCCCAGCCTCGCTCAACTTTGCAAGGCGATTCTTGCCACCCCAGGAAAATCTAGTGGTTTTCACGCCCGTAACGCTGGACGACAAGGATAGAGAAACCTCGAACAGCGTTCTTCCAAACGAAAAAGGTCACGACGTAAGCCTAAGATTGAAAAATGAGGCTTGTCAAATGTTACATCTTTTCGATCCTGCTCTATGGAGTGGAGAGTTGGGTCTCTGGACAGAAAGCCCCTTGAAGAGACTTAGAAGCATTTGAAATGTGGATTGACGGGCAGCCGTTACGTATAAACTGGCTTGACAAAATCAGAAAGGAGGAGGGGATAAGCCGCCTGGGAAAAGCCAAGGTAAATCATCAAAAGCGTAAAAAAAAGTAAAAGTTGGAATATTTTGGACATGTGATGTGACACCTGGAAAAATACGGCATCCTTCACTTAATCCGGTTTCACTTCACTTAATTCGGTTTTAATTGGGTTGTTTTAAATTTTGGGCCAAAATTATTTAATTGTTTTTTAAACCGTTTTTTAAATTTTATATGTTATGTTTTATCTCAGCTATATACCGCCCTGAGTCCTGCAGGAGAAGGGCGGTAGAAATCCTCCAAGGGAAGATTGAAGGCAAAGGAGGTCCAGGCAGAAGAATTTTAATGGCTTCAAAATCTAAGGGACGGGTTTGGGCAAAACTCAGGAGCACTTTTTCGTGTAGCTGTTGATAAAAATAGGATCACCAACGTCCAATGACGGATATGGGAGAGGAGGAGGAGGAGAGGAGGAGGAGGAGGAGGAGGGAGGAGGAGGAGGAGGAGGAGGAGAGGAGGAGAGGAGGAGGAAGAGAAGAAGAAGAAGAAGAAAGGAGGAGGAGGAGGAGGAGGAGGAGGAGGAGGAGGAGGAGGAGAAGAAGAAGAAGAAGAAGAAGAAGAAGAAGAAGAAGAAGAAGAAGAAGAAGAAGAAGAAGAAGAAGAAGAAGAAGAAGAAGACGACGACGACTGGACACATTCACATTTCGCAAGAGCTGAGAACTCAAGGCCTGGGGTCTTTTATAAAAACCAAGGTTTTGAAGCAGAAACTACTAGCAAAATAGCAAATTTAAAATAAAGCAGGGCGCAGATCAGGAGAGGTTTGTATCCTAAATACCACCACACCCACTGCATTCGGACGAAAAAAACTGCACAGCTGTTCCTGAATTCCAGATGCGGGCTAGGTTGAAATTCGGGGGGCATTTGCCTGAATAGCCACTGTATAAAAAATGGCTAGTTGTAGGCCCAGTTTATCAGAAAGGAACCGTCACCCACCACAGCTAAGCTGCGATTTTTAAATTTTTAAAATTTTTCAATAAGGCATTGAAGAGGAAGGGAAGCTGTTACGGCCCTGCTCGATTCCAAATTCCCCTTCGTGTCCGAGAAAGCGAAGGGAAGCCGCAGGGCACTGGAAACTGCCTTTAAATCAACTCAAGGTGAGTTAATAGGTGGTGACAGCTGTGCTCCTAGTTGGCATTTTAAAAATAACTCCTAAGCCAAGTCACTTCCGGTATCCGTCTAAGACTAGCGAGGTTTATCTGAAGCCAGGATGAGCAATGCTGGACCCCATATTTCACAAGAATGGAAGTTGGAAGACCAGCTTAGCTCCTTAGCTTTTCCTTAAAGAAAAAAGTTGTGAATTCTGGTGCTTAAAATCTCTTTTTAAGTCAGTGTTTCTCAGCCATAGGGACTTTAACATGGCTGGACTTCAACTCCCAGAATTCCCCTGGCTGGGGAATTCTGGGAGTTGGAAGTCCAGCCATCTTAAAATCCCCAAGGTTGAAAAAATACAGCTTTACGTTGTATTACGTTGTATGCCTCCTGCTGTAGGATTGGAGAAACGAGGGAACCAAACCTCACCCCATTCCCGCCTGCAACAAAATATAATAATTTCAACGCAAACATAAGTCACTTACGCTTCGTCAATGTTGGGATGAAAAATTTTATTCATGAATCCTAAGAGGAGAGAAACACAAGGGACGTTAGAACAACTTCAAGCAAACTTTCAGCATTTGCCAAAAGGAGATATAAGAGCTCAACGGTGGGAAAAATCCTCTCGAATCCTATTCTCTAAGTCAGGGGTCTCTCCCAGCTTGACCACTTTTAAGACTTGTGGGCTTCAACTCCCAGAATTCCTCAGGATAACAGAGTTGGAAGGGACCTTGGAGGTCTGCTAGTCCAACCCCCTGCTCTGGAAGGAGACCAAAAGGTTGTCCTGAAAAATTTCCAGTGTTGGAGCACCCACAACATCTGGAGGCAAGTCGTTCTACTGGTTAATTGTTCTGCTAATTAATTAATCGTTAATTGTTCTAATTCATGCTGGCTGAGGAATTCTGGGAGCTGAAGTCCACAAGTCTTAAAAGTTGCCATGTTTGGAGATCCCTGCTAAGTGCCTCTCTTACCCTTTTTTTTTTTTTTTAATAGCCATCATCCTTATTTCTGGAGTCAATCTATCCAAGGTTTCTCAAATCTCCAGTTCTTGCAAACCACGACATTGCAGGAAGTCCTCGACTTACAACCATTTGTTTAGCAGCGGTCTGGAGTTACGACAAAAAAGCAACTTCCAACCTGTCCTCGCGCTTACGATTGCAGCATCCCCCATGGTCACGTGGTCAAAATTCAGAAGCTTGGCAACCGGCATGTACTTATGACGGGTTGCGGAATCCTGGGATCATGTGACCCCCCTTTTGCGATCAATCAGCTTCGGACCAGCAAAATCAACGGGGAAAGCCAGATTTGCTTAATAACAGTGGCAAGAAAAGTTGTAACGGGTGAAACTCACTTAACAACGGCTTTCCTCAGTGATGGAAATTTGGGGCTGAATTTGTGGTCGTAACTCGAGGACCACCTGTACTCAACTCTCCCCCAAAAAACTGGTGGTAGATTCCCAGAGGTGAATTGTCGGGTTAAGGAGAAACTGCTCAGAAATCAGACTCCAGCATTAATGACTGAATATATCTAAAGAAGCTTTTTTTTTTTTTTAAAGCAAATAAACTGAGATTTCCAAGAGCGAAGGAAGCAACACTCCAGGTGGTTGAGGCATGCACTCCTGAGGAGGAGGCCAGGCTCAGCAGATGGTCAAATATCTTGAAATTAAAATACGGGGCGAAGAGCGGGCTCAAAAGACTTGGATAGCATGGCAAGGTATCCAGATCGGATCTCTTATACCTGAATAAAAATTAAACAGAAATCTGAAATGGTTGACGCTGGTTTGGTGCAGTGGTGAAGGGGCTCGGCTAGAAAGCAGGAGACGGTGAGTTCTAGTACCACCTTAGGCACCAAAGCTGGATGGGTGTCTTTGGGTCAATCACCAGGAGATGGTGAGTTCTAGATCAGTCTTAAGGCATGAAAGTCGGCTGGCTGACTTTGGGCCAATCACCAGGAGACAGCGAGTTCTAGATCAATTTTAGGCATGAAATCTGGCTAGATGACTTTGGGCCAATCACCAGGAGATGGAGTTCTAGATCAGTCTTAGGCATGGAATCTGGCTAGATGACTTTGGGCCAATCACCAGGAGATGGAATTCTAGAATCAGTTTTAGGCATGGAATCTGACTAGATGACTTTGGGCCAATCACCAGGAGACAGTGAGTTCTAGACCAGTCTTAGGCATGGAATCTGGCTAGATGACTTTGGGCCAATCACCAGGAGATGGTGAGTTCTAGTCCCAATTTAGGCCCGAAAGGTGGCTGGGTGACTTTAGGCCAGTCACTTTCTCATAGCCTAACCCACCTCACAAGACTGTTGTTGTGGGAAAAGCAGGAGGAGGAAGGAGTATTAAGTATTTTTGCCATCTAAAGTAAAAAGGCAAGATCAAAAAAATCATATAATAAATGAAGAATCCTCAGCCTTTTTTAATCACTGCTCCCCAAGATTTGCAAGGAGCACCAGAATCAACAGAATCAACAGAAAGAGTATCCTGATTGGTTGTCAGACTCCCAGGGGGTGGGGGTCTTAATTAGCATTGCTGGCTGATGTAATCTTCCCGGGTGCCATGTGGTGAGTTTCTGTTGCTAGATGGGTCCTATTGTGTTGCAGATGATGGTCTATTGACAAAGATTGAATTTCTGCCTCTGGTCCATTGACAAGGGGTGGGGGCAGGAAGATGGGAGCTACTTCGTCTTTAAAACATGCTTCTCCATTTCTCATCTAGGGAAACATAATATTCTGCCTTTTTAATATTTCCAAAAATATTTCATTCTTCTAGGAAAGGGGTGGGTGCTAACTTCCTACAAAAGAGAGTGAAAATCTGGGTGCGTCTTATACTCTGAATGTAGCCCTGCCCAGCTTCTCAAACTGAGGTTTCAGAGGCTGAAAAAAGCATCAGAAACGAAGCTTCCAAACAGAGCTTCAGAAAAAAAAGCCCCCAAACAGAGCTTCAGAAAAGAAGCTTCAGAAAAAAAGCCTCCAGAGCTTCAGAAAAAAGCCTCCAAACAGAGCTTCAGAAAAAAAGCCTCCAAACAGAGCTTCAGAAAAAAAGCCTCCAAACAGAGCTTCAGAAAAAAAGCCTCCAAACAGAGCTTCAGAAAAAGAAGCCTCCAAACAGAGATTCAGAAAAAAAAGCCTCCAAACAGAGATTCAGAAAAAAAGCCCCCAAACAGAGCTTCAGAGGCTTTTTTTTCTGAAGCTCTGTTTCGCAGGCTTTCAGAGGCAGGGAAAAAAGCAAAAAAAAAAAGCAAGGCACAGAACTCACAACCAAAGAACCTGTTGCTAAAATTCACCTCTGGGAAAAGCTGATTGGAGTATTCCGGGAGGCTGATCCATCTGCCAATCAGCTTTTTTCTTATTTTCCTCCCCCCAAAAACTAAGGTGCGTCTTATACTCTGAAAAATACGGTAAGTGTGAACAAAAAATTCAACAAAAGCAGTTTGTGTGGCTCTCCCAAGCTCCCTTTTTACTGGCAGAGGCATCCAGGGCCAGTCCTTTGCTGTTTCCAGGGTGGCCCTGCGGGGCAGGTCTAAGCATCCTGAGAGCCGGATCCTTGAGTTTGAAACCTCTGGCTCTACAGCAGCCTTCCTCCGTCTCTACACCTGTGTGGACTTCAATTCCCAGAATGCCTCAGCTGAGCATGCCCAGAAACGCAGCCCGGCTGTCCTGATTCCAGTTCAAATGTTTTCAGGGTATGATGTGCAGGTCGTATATCTAAGCCGCTTCTTAAGGAGATAAGGAGAACTCCTTCACGTCTCTACAGATTAGGGTTCAATTTGATTGATTGAACGGGAGGGTTGACTTATAAGCCTCTCAAACTATTTGCCAGGATTTGAATAGGTTGAATTCGAACCACAGAGGGTGCGGCGTTGGGTCACGATGGAGAGATTTGGGCAAATTTTGGAAGTTTGCATCCTTGCAAGGCTGAAAGGTTATTTCCGAAAAAAAAGAAAAAAAGAAAAAAGTGAACCAGGAGAGTGCAGGAATCCAATACAGGTAGTCCTCGACTTATGACCGCAATTGGGCCCCAATTTTCTTATTTTTTTGCCACGGTTCTCGAGCGAATCGCTACGGTCGTTAAACGAATCACATGGTTGTTAAGCAAATCCAGCTGAACTTGGGTTTGTCGGAAGCTGGCCGCAATTGGCGACCATTCGGATCCAGGACTTTGCAACCGTCGTAAATCCAGGTCATCTTCGACTTAGGGACTACAACGGAGTTCTGAAATTTCCGTGGTTAAGTGAGACAGTTCTTAATAAGTCAATCTTGCCCCGTTTTACGAACTTTCTTCCCACCGTCCTTAAGCGAATGGCTGCGGTTGTTAAGTTAGTCAGCTGGTTGTTAAATGAATCTGGCTGTCCCCGCTGACTTTGCTTGTCAGGAGGTCGCAAAAGGGGACCAACGTGACCCCGGGACACTGCGACCGTCATAAGTATGAGTCAGTTGATGAGTGTCTGAATTTCCATCATGTGACCCATGAGGATGCCGCAACGGTTTAACTTTGGTCATTAAACAAACCATTGTAAATCGAGGACTACCTGTAGGCTGGAGACAGAAGCTACCCAACGATTTATACCAGAGGTCTTCAAACTTGGCAGCTTTAAGACTTGTGGGACTTCAACTCCCAGAATTTTCGTCGCCAAGCCGGAAATTATTCCTTTAAATCAGTGTTTTTTTAAAAAAACTTGGCAAGGTTAAGACGAGTGGACTTCAACTCCCAGAATTCCTCAACCAACATGAAAAACACTAGTTTAGATTTTACCAGAGTATCAGAGTAGGAACGGGACCTTGAGAGGTCTTCTAGTCCAACCCCCTGCTCAGGCAGGATGCCCTATGCCATTTCAGACAAGCCTCTTTTTAAAAAACCTCCAGTGATGGAGCATTTATCACTTCTGGTGGCAAGTTGTTCCGCTGGTGAATTGTCCTCACTGTCAGGAAATTCCTCCTTAATTCCAAGTTGCTTCTCTCCTTGGTTCGTTTCCATCCGTTGCTTCTTGTCCTGCCTTCAGGGGCTTTGGAGAATAGCTTGACCCCCTCTTCCTCTTCTTTGTAGCGGTCCCTCAAATATTGGAAGATGCTATCATGTCATCCCAATCCTTCTCTTCACTCGACTAGCCAGGCCCAGTTCCTGCAACCGTTCTTCGTATGTTTTAGCCTCCAGTCCCCGAATCATTTTAGTTGCTCTTCTCTGCACTTTATTTCTAGAGTCTCAACATCTCTTTTTATAGTGTGGTGACCAAAACTGGATGCAGGATTCTAGGTATAGTCTTACTAAGGCTTTGTAGAGTGGTATTAGTACCTCCCTTGATCTTGACTGTATCCCTCTGTTAATGCAATTTAGGATTGTGTTGGCTTTTTTGGCCGCTGCAACACACGGCTGGCTCACATTTAAGTGATAGGCATTTTAAGAGGGTTCCTCATAAGCTGAACTATCAACTTGCTCTTGATGGGCTTTTGAATTTGTCTTAAAATGGATTTTTTTTAAAAAAAAAAATGACAAGGTTTTCATCTCTTACCTATAGATGGGGATTTGAAAGGGTATTTGTCAGGAAGGTCCACGCGAACTTTCCACACGCCACCTTCGTACGGTGCTGAAATTTGGAAGGTTTTCAAAAAGGAAGGTTAAGTTGTATATTTGACGCTTCCAAATATAAGATTATTTAATTAAGACATGCAAGAGAGACACTAAATTCTAACAAGCAGGATGGGAAAAAAAGAGCTTCCATTACTAGTTTACCATTATTCTTTTTATATAGAGATTTTAGCTGCCTACTTCTAAATACATTCATGTAATATTTCTCAAGTTTGGCAAATTTAAGATGGATGGACTTCAACTCCCAGAATTCTTTGCTGGCTGGGGAATTCTGGGAGTTGAAGTCCATCCATCTTAAATTTGCCAAGGTTGAGAAATATTGCACTAACTACGTATACATTGCAAATTTTAAGATTAAGAATGACTGTAAATAAATTTTAAAGCATCAAGACAGTAATACTGCATGGGAATATTAAGACAGTAACACCCTAAACACCTTATCAGCACGGCAAAGAAAATCCTAGAAAGATGGTTCTAGATTATCAATTTTAGAAGCCCTAAATCTAGTTTAATTTTTAAAAAAAAAACAAAAAACCCACTATTCTCTATTTTCTAAGCACTGCATTTGTACTTTCTTGCCTGAGCAGGGAGTTGGACTAGAAGACCTTCAAGGGCCCTTCCAACTCTTGTTATTCCATGAATCCATCTCCATTTAATTTTTTCCCCCTTCTTCTTAAATTTTGTTGTTTTGAAACCTGCTATGAAAGAATCTAATAGGCCACTAGTGCCATGTGTGTGTGTGTCTGTAGAAAGAAAGAAAGAAAGAAAGAAAGATAGATAGATAGATAGATAGATAGATAGATAAGATAGATAGATAGATAGATAGATAGATAGATAGATAGATAGATAGATGGACAAACAGACAGACAGATAGAGGTAGGTGGGTAAGGATAGATAATTAGACAGACAGATATAGAGAAATAATAATGATTTATTGATAGATAGATGATAGATACGGTCGGTCAGTTGGTCGGTCGGTCGGTAGAGAGAGAGAGAGAGAGAGAGAGAGAAGGTAGGTAGGTATGTAGGTAGGTAGGTAGACAGATAGATAAGAGATAGATGGGTAGGGATAGACAGACAGACAGATATAGAGAAATAATAGGTGATTGATAGATGATACAATCGGTAGGTAGGTAGGTATAGATATAGATGATAGATAAGGTAGTTAGGTAGATAGATAGATAGAGATAGATAGATGGACAGACAGACAGATAGAGATAGGTGGGTAGGGATGGTTAGACAGACAGATATAGAGAAATAATAGGTGATTGATAGATAGATGATACAATCGGTAGGTAGGTATAGATATAGATGATAGATAAGATAGGTAGGTAGGTAGGTAGGTAGGTAGATAGATAGATAGATAGAAAGAAAGAAAGAAAGAAAGAAAGAAAGAAAGAAAGAAAGAAAGAAAGAAAGAAAGAAAAGCTATGCCGTCTTTCCACTTGCTTTCGAGGAAGCTTTTGCAAAAGTTTATATATGTATGTATGTAAACTTTTTTATTTGCTTCTTCAAATGCAAGTGAAAAGAGGGCATAGCTTAATAAGAAAACAAGGGTTTTCTATGGAGAAGATCACAGGAGCATTTCCAGTAAAACTAGATTTCCAGGTGTTGCAGAACACCTGGGTTCAAGAATTTTGACAGCTATTGGCAGCCAGAGAAGGCAATGCCCACTTAAAGGGATTTGAGGCTTAACTAACCCAGTATAAAATATCTCCTGGGTCTTAAAAGGCAGAGGGAACCTGGGCATTAATCATCTCCCCAAATCATCTCTTATTTTTCCCAATTCTTCCCTCCACCCCCACCCCCCAAGAGATCAATCAGAAAGAAAAAGGGTTTCCTTCCAACATCTTTACGTGACTCAGGGGTATACCTACTTCCTTGTGGTCCATAAAACTTCACTACAAATTCGTTGAGTCCTCCTAGGATTGTGACTTCGTGTTTGCTCTCAATACTGGAGGTGTCGGAGTCAAGGAAAACGTTGGCAGCGCAGATAAATTAAGAAAGCTGCTCACTTAAGAAAAGTCCAGGAACGGAATTCATTCAGATACTACTGAGTCAGCTTGAAATAATTACTGAAATCCAGTAATATTTCTAAATATCTGTCTGTCTGTCTAAAATATTTCTAGTTCAGGACTGAACTGTGGAGTCCTTGGTGCTCTTTGAGCTGGGCTGTTTTCTTGCAGTCATTTTATTACCAAACTAGGTAACATCATCAGTGTTAGAAGGGAGTAGGGTTTGGTCTCTGTATATCGTATTATCTATCTATTTCTATCTATCTGTCTTTCTATATCATATTATCTATCTAATCATATTATCTATCGATCTATCTTATCTATCTGAATCAAACTATCTATCTACTGTGTTTCCCCGAAAATAAGACCCTGTCCTATATTTTTTTGAACCCTGAAATAAGCGCTTGGTCTTATTGCCATGCGCTCAAAAGCCTAATTGGACTTATTATCAGGGGAGGTCTTATTTGGGTGGGAAACAAGGTATCATCTATTTGTCTGTCTGTCTGTCTGTCTGTCTGTCTGTCTGATCTATCTATCTATCTATCTATCTATCTATCTATCTATCTATCTATCTATCTATCTATCTCTGTCTGTCTAGTATCTATCTATCTATCTATCTATCTATCTATCTATCTATCTATCTATCTATCTCTTCTATATCCATCCATCCATCCAGTCAGTCAGTCAGTCAGTCTATCTATATTTTATTATATAATAATAATAATAATAATAATAATAATAATAATAATAATAATAATTTTATTTCTATACCGCCCTTCTCCCGAAGGACTCAGGGCGGTGTACAGCCAATTTAAAAACACAAGACACAACAATAATTAAAAATTAAAATAATTAAATAGATTTGGCCGATTTAAAACCCCAAAAATTAAAATACCCCAATTTAAAATTATTATATTGACAGCCCTGCCTGGCGGAACAACAGGGTCTTCAGTGCGCAGCGGAACACCCGGAGGTGATCTATCTATATCATATTTTCTATCTGTCTGTCTATCTGTCCATCATTTATCATCTTTGGGGCCAGAGTCAGACTGTACTTAGTGACTGAAAAACAACAACAGGTCAGGTTGAGAATTCCACCCAGAGAACCTCTCTAAACTTTTCTTCTAAGATGGAGAAGTCTTGTGTCTCTTCAACTACAGCATCTCATCCTGGAACCGATGCCAAGGGAGGAAATTGCTGCTGTAACTCCTCCAAGACTTGGTGGGGGCAGATCATAAGCTTGAGTGAGTCACAGGAGAAGACAAAGAGTTGGAGGGTTGGCAGACCTCTGGCAAAGATCTCCAGATCGGATGCCTCACTGTGGCTCATGGGTTTTCTGAGACATGGGACACCGCCCAGTCTTTTCTCAAAGCCAGGAGAAATATGTTGGCATGTTTATCTGATGAAACCTACCCTTTCATTTCATCAAGAGGAGGGCCATCGCAACGAGAGATGGGAGAGTCAGAAAAGAAGTCAAGAATCCATGAAACTTCCATTTGCAGAAGAAATGCTCAGAAGAAGCCAACTGGGGTAGACTTCCCTAAGCAAGATGAAGGGGGAAAAGGACAGGGAGGAGAAGTGATAGAGGAGAACGAAGAAGGCAGAGTAGTCCAACAGAAGTAGTAGTCCTACGGAAGACTCAACCAGGGTCCAGAAACCCCGGAGCAAAATGGCAAAAAAA